AAAACCCCAAAACCCCAAAACCCCATGACTCTGAATTAATTGGCATATGATAAAGAGATAATTTGATGAATACTTTTATGTTTATAATTATAACTTAGATTAAATTTCGTAATGGACCGAAGAAGAAAGAAAAGCTCAAAACCTTAATCAGCCTTAGACAGAGGTGGTGATGATGATGATCTCAATATTTTTGAAGAAGACCGCATTTGCTTGGTAAAGTATTGCAGAGATAAAACACATTACCATCCACCTGTAAGCAATAAATTTAGGTATAACATTTTTAAAATTAGAGAAAGTAGTAATAATTCCCATAGTTTAGCGTAGACTCGTAAATATAACCAATGAATGACATTGGCTAAGGAACACCCTTTCCCTTGCCATTAGTTATTGATGTAAATTCTAGTTCTTAAATGATTCATAGGAAAACAATAAAATATATCTATAAGAGAGAAAAGAACTGAAATTTGGCGCAGAGGGTCAACTGGGAGCGGATAAGAAAGTTGTTGTAACAGAATTGGCATTAGATCATTGGCTAGCGCAGAATTACAATCTCAATATTGATTCAATTCCACCATACAGACCTTAGCACATTCCTGTAACATGAATTCAGTCTTTAAAATAATTCGTAGAAATAAATATATGAGCAACTAAAGAAATATGTAAGATCAAGCATAAGTCAAGAACAATAAAGAAAAAAAGCCAAAAATAAGATGAGGATGAATGGGCAGGATCCTTAAAAATCTCAAAATTTTGACTATAAATAAAGCCTTTTGAAATACTCCCAAAATAAGCCACTAAAGCTTAAGCCTGATGATCTCAAACATGTGGTCTATGCAAAAACCTAAAAGATTTAGCCGTACGTAGACCAAATTGAATAATAGTATGAAAGTCCATCAAAGGCTAATTTGCACAATAATTATTAGGAATTGAACTATTCTTCTTAAAACCTCATACACGATTCAACTTCTAATTTTAGAATGAACAAATAATCTCACCTTAGAGCTTAAAGTCAAGAACTTGGATCTAGATCTGCGTTTCTCAAAAACAGATTCCTCAATCAAAGAAATAATCAGTAAGAAACAGTGATCTAAACATAAAAGCTACCTAACTATGAATAGTATTAGAGGCCAAATAAACTAATTAGAAACAGATTAAAATCTGAAAATATAAGATTCTTAAGTAACAATGAAATTGAGCAAACTGCTAGTGTGATTGATAATTACTATAGAACTCTAAAGAAAAGTAATGATAAAAAAGAGAAAAGAAAGAAAACAGAGAGAGATAGCATTGATATTGATTTGAACGAGAAAGCTGATTCAAAATAAGAGGAAGTTAAAGATTACTAAGAAAATATATAAAATAAGGCTATTTTCAAGAACAGACATAGATCTCGAGGAACACATATTTAAAATTAAAGCTAAACCAAAAATCGAACTTAGTCAAGCCTAATGAAAATTAGATTTATGGATTCAGCATCTAAATATTCTGCCCTCAATGCCACTGCAGCAACGCTATTTGAAAATAATTATTCCAGCTTGGCTAAGTCATTTAATAAGACAGCCATGTCTAATATTAGCAAAGACTTTTAGATGAACTTTGAAAATTAAGGTTAATCCAGAAATTCATTGCAAGAAAAAATTAGCTCTTTGATGTTAAAAAGCAAAACTATCATGAATAAAACTAGGGTATCAGAATTTAAAAATGAAAGTAACTAGGTCTAAAAGTTTAGAGAAACTCAGCATTTAAATAGCATACTTAATAAAGATTACGGAATAAAGTTGAATGAGTAATCGATTGATCCTGAGTCCTCTTAACTTTTGCAAAACTATATGAATGTGTCTACTTCAATTAACAAAGCTTAATTTATCACAAACAAAAGAAAGGAACTGGATAAATCTTTTATTTAAGCAGTGAATGAAGAGGAAAAAATTTAAAGAGATAACATAAATCAAATTATCAAGGACTTGGAGCTTGATATTGATGAATCACGATTCACTATGAAAGAAGAAGTAATATTAGAAATGTAGGAATTCAAATTAGACTTCTAAAAAATGCAATCAAGGATACAAGATATGAAAAGTCCTAATTTTTGGCTTTAAAAGGCCATTTAATAATGTAATAATGACTCAGTTGAGTCGTCCATTGATTACTATAAATAAGGGCTAAGAGTTAATCCAACTAGTGAAATTTTACTTTACAATTTAGCTTGCTAATTTTAGAAAATTGGAAAATTTGAGAACTCTATTAGATGGCTGAAGCATTCCCTAAATATTAAGCCTCAGTGGACTGATGCTTATTATGGCTTGGCAATTACTAAATTCAAAATGCAAAAGTATGATCTTGCTCTAAAGAATATTGAGCTAGCAATTGAAACTCATTAAGAGTAATTTATTTTTATTCATTTATTCTAGTGCTCTTGTCCCGTTTAATCATATGATTTATCTTAGAGCTATGTGCTTTAAAAATCTAGCTAATTTTTCTAAGGCTTAGAAAGATTATAATAGTCTTTCTAAATAATTTAGCTAAAACTTAGGAAAGGACTTAATTAAATACGTAATGGGAATTTTACTACTTCCATTATAAGAGGATAGAAAAGTAAAATTATAGCTTATTATAATAATCTAGATATAAGAGGACTATATGGAGAATTATTTAGAGCTGATGAATTTTTGTGCAAAGACTCAAAAGCATGTGGACAACAAGAAATATCTTAGCAGTTTCTTTAATAAGCAAAAAAAGAATCTCGAGTATGATTTAAATAGACCTGCAATCTTAGAGCTACTTTCTTAGAAATCTTTTTTCAAAAGACTTTCAGAAGAGACTATTGTAACTATTGATTATTTAACAAGTTGAAATTTAGGATTAATACCTGACTAAATCATAAATTGTAAAGTATGAAAAAGATGATTTGATTTTCCTGAATAAAAGAGTGGGCATCATTACAAATGGATCAGTGTCAGTAAGAAACCACACTGAATAAATAATGAAGCCCAGAATATTGTGCAAAGCTCTGGAGGGTTAGATTTTGGGTTACGATGAAATAGATAAAGAAAACATGTCGACTCACTCTTAAACTTGGCTAGTGGCTTTGGAAACAACAGAGATAGTGTTTTTTAAGAAAGAAACATTCAAAAAGATTTGGGACTCATAGAGGCTTAAAACAAGTAATCAAATAGCACTTGCATTGATCGAAAAGAATTTATTCTTTTCTTATCTAAGCAAGCAAAGTTTATACTTCTTTATATATGAAGGGATGAAAGAAATTTATTACTATCCTGGATAATTGATTGCGGTTTAATCATTAAGATCTGTTCTCAATAAATCATACTTGCTCTTCTATTAAAGTAAGAAGAGCAAATTTAAACAAGAGATTGATAATAAAAAGCTAATAGAAAATGGAGATGATACTATTTTCTAGTCTGATCTTTAAGCTTTTATGGGAGCACTAAAGCCATTAAATTCTCCTGTCAAAAGAAAGCCTACTATTCAATATCAGAGTAGAATAAGCTAAAATTAATCAGAATTATTTAGCAATAAAGAGCTAATGACAATTATAAATACCTAAAGAGAATAAATCTAGAATTACCAAAGTGAGTTAAAATCTAGTTATACGCAGGATTGTAAAGATTTAGACTGTGAAAATGGGCTCTAAGAAACAGAGTGCAGAGGACTATATTACGTTTTTACTGGATCTATAGATATAGTCCTGGATGATGAATTGATGCACACTATTCCCCATGGAGAAATATTTGGAAAGTCTTTCATTATTAAACATCCTGTAAGTAATTTATGCAAATCTGATAATAGTGTAGAGCTATGAGTATTTCGGAGATATTTATGCAGGTGAGAATGGAGTAACAATCTATTTCTTTGATTATGAATTGATGAAGAGAATACCAGTTATCGAAATACAGAATATCATATAAAGTAATATTCTGAGAAAGAAGGACGGTATTTTCCATATGATAGCCTCAAGATTCAAAATGGATATAAGTGAATTGAAGAAGTACTGAACTGAATTCGATTCCAGATCTCAAGTATTATAATCATTTGAGATGATAAATTGTGAAAATTATATTTATTGATGCTTTAAACTTAATTTCATAACTTAAACAATACATCAATTAATTATAAGATGAAATTTTCAGCGAATTCCATAGAGATTAAATATCTCTTAATTGGAAAACACTCTCGAGTGTTGGTATTTGTAATTTGTAAGTTTACTGAATTTTTCAAGATCATTAACTTTTTCAAATCTCCAAAGAGGCCACACTACTCGCTTTGCTTTCCCAATTAAAAATCCTCTAGACAATGGGCCAAACTCAGATAAAGAATCAGGCCCTCTGTCATTTGGATTAATGGATTCAACCCACATATGATTAATTGGTATTTTAATAATGCCTCCATCATCCATTCTTTATATCCAATCATTTTCACTTGCTACTAGTCTTCTAAGAATGACCTCCCCTGGTTTGTATGGGTTCTTTATTGCCACAATACATCCATTTAAATTCTCATTAAGATTTGTGAATTTCAAATAGGAAACTCTGTCAGAGTCCATAAAGCCTGCTGGTTTAAAATAAGGACTCATCGAATTATCTTTGATTCTAACTATACGGTTTCATATTCCATATTCAATATTACATACGTTAGGACCTTAAATGAGCATCAATTGATAGGTATCCTAGGATTAAGGTACCAATGGTCATATTCTTGTAATTTCTAGATCCATCTGGCTTGAAAAACATTTTCATTTTTTAATAATTTAATATACCACTAAAAATGCAGGAATTAATTTCTTGGGGTTTTGGGGTTTTGGGGTTTTGGGG